TTTTTTCGACCCTAGGTATTTTTACGAATAATATCTTCTTTTTATGATATTTAATTTTTTTATTTAAAAATTTCACTGTGTATTCTTAAAATATCCATAAATATAAGGTATATTTTTTAAGCTGACACACTTAAAGTGACGTTATGCTGAAAAATGGTTTAATCGAACTTTAGTGTTTAATTAAATTACGCTCGTACTAAACACAAAGTTCAAGTTGGAACATTCGTAGCCAAGATACTAAACACGGACTTTAGAATGATTTATTAACATAATAAATATATAAATATGTAACTAAGTAGGTATTTTAATATTATAAAGAAAAATTAGTTTATTTATATTTTTTTTAACTTTTTACTTTTCACTTAGTAAAGTGAATCCACCAGCAAAAACAACAAAGCGTAATATATATATAATGACAACTATTTTATGCTCCATACTGAAACTCATTTCGACAATGACAAGTAAAATTGTACATACATATACTCGTATACATATGTAGTGTGTATGTACACATGTATTTATGTATTGACTTTTAAGAAAGCAAAAAATTTGTGAAATTTTCTCATATGCAGTACAACCTTAACAGCATGGATAGTTAACAGTTTAATGCCAGTGAACCAGATCAGGCTGAACTGTTTGTCGGTCAGAAGCAGAAACTGCCATAGTAATAAAGCAAATGAAAATACACACACATATATATATATATATATATGCATGCATACAAACGCATACTAAAAGCTAGTAACCGAAAAAAGCAAATCAAAGCAAAATTGGCAAACTAGGCCATGTGCTGTTTTGGCTTTACTCTACTTCTTTATATGCTCTGCTCTCAGTGCTTTTAATTCGGCTACTGCTTTTAAGGGCCGCCTTCGCCCGCACACACGCTTGCTGACCCTCTTCTATCATCTATCTGGCTGGCATGCGTTTATATGCTATAAAGTAAGCGAAATATGGTAGATAAAATGAATACATATACATACATATTTACATAATCACATACATATGTGCACTTGCTGTGCCAAAAAGCATTTACAGTTACTTTATGCACCACCGCCAGTCCACTTTGAAGCTTTGGCAAAATTTTTGGGTTACCAAGCGTTAAGCGAGGGTTGGCACATAATACAATACAATGTGTCGAGATGCTACAAACATGTGTGTCTGTGTGTGTCGCAGAGCAATTGTTTAAGCGTGTGCTGTTGTTTTTCTTGGCATATATGCTAGATGGCACACACAGATGCGAAAATAGCAAAGTCAGCAGCCATATTGCAACCAAAATATTTTGTGTGCCAGCACGCGCATGCAAATATTTATGTATATGTACATATGTATGTATGTGTGTTTGTTTGAAAAGAGCGCAGAAAAAGAATGGGCGATACGTGGGGCAGTGAAGGAATTTTGATTGGTAAGTATTACATGTTGCATTAATTAAAGACGCTTGGAATGCAGAATGTTCAGCTGATATTTCAGTGCACATACACAAACAGATACATACATACATATATGTGCACATGTAGAATATGTGAGAGCAGTATGCAGAGACATCCTTCTCTTAATACCGAAAAAAATATTGTCTTTGAAGACAAAAAAAAATAGCGAGGATATTCAAACTCATCGCATAAGCCCAAAAACAACATATCACCATCTGATCAAATTTGACCCGGACTAGTCCATTGAAATAACGCGCCCAAACTAACTCGATAGAAAAAATTTCCTAGATTGGTACAACCTGTAAGATTTGATCTCCATTTTTAAATTAGACCTCAATCGTTAGCAGAAACGACGTCGAGTAGAGGTCGCAAAAACAATACCTGACAACGGATCTGAGTACTCTACATTCGTCAAACGCATCATCATTTGTGACGAGACGTAGGTTTTTGAATATGACGTCGAAACTGTACAAAACATCTAACGAATGGCGCTCCAAAAATAAGCCGAAACCCAAAAGGCACTGAAGGCCATCGCAACCGAGGCTTATAATACCTAAGTATATATGGGTAATTGGATTAAACCTAGGAGTGCTTGCATTGGCTAAGGTGTGTATTTTATAGGCGATAATAAAGGTTTATATTAAAATACGTGGAAATGCCGTTTGAGTTCCGCGTTATTATGCCGATGATGTCTCTCATACTCAATAATCAAGTAAATTTTTTATTAGGTGCATTTTAAATCCCTTGCCCTTACATATATTTCAGTTATGATATATTTTTTTGAATCCTCAATTATTTCTAAGCTGATTACTACAAATATGCAAGATCTAATTTTAGAAAAAATGCTCATAATAATGTCGCCTGAATGTTTTTTTTTTAGAAATTTTACAGAGAACGCTTTTAAATTTTTTACCGCTTTTATCTAATTAGAAAAATATCTTCAATACTCTTTCGCACTCCGCTTAGTTTTGTAAATATTTATAAGTTCACAGATGGCGCTGTAAGTAACGCGACTATATAAGAAAATAGTATACATGATGCTTGTAATTTATAATGCTTAACACTTTTTATGTATAAAATGGGTATCGGGAGTTACCCGATAAAGTGTAGTACAAGTTTATGCCGCTCTTAAACGACTGATCCGAATTTTTGAGGAAGTCTTTCTATAAATTGTATACCAGGCAGGGCAGGAAACATATAATTTTCAGATTAATATGCACCACCGCCATCGTTTCCGAGTTAAAATATTAAGCCATTTTCTGATTTCCATAAAAAGCACAACTTTACAAAAAAGCTTTCACGACATCACAATTTAGCTTTCAACGACATCACAATTTAAAGTCGAGTTATTTTTCAAGTTTTTAAAGGCAAGCCAAAAAAACGCGATTTTGTTATAAATTTATTTTGAAGCGGCATTTTATTTCATAAATTAATAACATTAATTAAAAACATTATTTATATTTACATATTTTAATATACTTTGAGAATTGGCAATTCATTTAAAAAAACATTTGGGTTCCATTGATCCTGTAGCCGATCACCAGGAAAATTTTCTGCCCAAAGATATTTCAAATACAAAATGCAGAGAATATATTATTATTATAGATGGTAATGATCGAAGAACTAGTCGAAATTTTGACCAAAGAGAGTCGTTTAATAGGAAAAAACTTACACTGAGAGCGGCCTTAAAAATTTAAATTATTATGAAAAATCTTATTCCTTCGCGCATTACTTGACAAATATGGTATAACTAAGGCGATCGATTCGATCGGTTCAGCTGTTTCGAAGAGATTTTTCTCACCGATTTTGGAAACAGTATCTCAAAATAACGCCTTTAAAATTTTGGGACCCGATTACACTAAGTTAAAAACTCTTACAAATGTTCTGATACAATGGCTGAGGATATTTGCAGGATTAAGAAAAAATAATATATAAACCTTCGATATAGATACAAAAACCCGATTTTTTAAAATTCACATGTGTATATAACCGCATAAGTAATTTTATAATCTAATGAATATCACAAACTCAATTTTTTAGCTTTTTGTCTGTTTTTAGTCAAAATTTCTTCACATAGTTGCCAGTACTATGAACGCCACTGTATCGTAAAAGCATTATTGCAAACATGTGACATGTAAACGTGTAGCTTTAGCTTAAGGGTTTAAATTTTGGCTATTGTATGCACTGAGAGCGACGTCTGATCAGAGTTGCTCTGCTATTTACATTATATATATATTGGGGCAACAAAAGCAAACTAGTGGCAGCAGCAGCAGCTGAGGCAATGAAAATGGGGCAATGCAAACTTAACTAAATACATGCATATACATATATACATATACATTGTATGTATAGATATGTGCGCGCAAATTGCAATGATATAATAAGTATTTGGGAGCTACACCAATTAATTATCATATTTTATGTGCACTATGCGCAACTATGCAAATTGAAAGGCAGCAACATTAAGTTAAATGTACATATTATTTATGTATGTATGCAGGTATGCATATAGGTATGTATATTATTTGTGTTATCTATGTCTGTTTACATGATTTTTGCTCACTTAAATCAATTCTCTGAAGCATTCTTTGGTATAAATAAATCTAACACATCTCAACTCATTTCCATTGTTTTACATTTTTCTTACACACACACACACATACACACTTGGTGCCACGTAATGATATACATATGTTATTATACAACATTTTTTGCTTATTGTTTATTAACATATTCTATTTATTCACTTTTTACCTTATTTTCTTGCCTATATTGTGTATTTTTCCTTTTATGTTTTCTTCGTATAGGTTATGGGTCAACACTTTGCCGTTTACTAAAGTTAACGTTATTTAGATGTAAATTTTCTTTCTGGCCGTTTTATATTTTCTTCATTCTTTATTATATGTGCTACACTTGTTTCTTGTTTTGTTTTTGTGTTTCGCAATGAATTTAAATTCTGTACGCTTTTTCACTTGCTAACAATAAGAATAATAAATAAATGAAAAGGGGTAAATTATGTTTGCAACGAAGTTTGTAATAACCCGAAGGAAACTTCGGAGACGCTATAAAATGCCGTTCCCACAACAGTCGGGTCTACGTAACCGGAACGTACCCGGATTTATTCCGGCCAAGGACTGTCAACTCGACAGAAATCTGTTGCTACAAAAACAACAACAACGCTATAAAATGTATATACACCATAAATGATCAGCATGATCAGCTGAGTCGATTTAGCCATGTCCGTCTGTCTGTATATACGCGATCTAATCCCTCAGTTTTTGAGACATCCAGTCCTTGTATGGAAAACTCTTTTATTTGGTGAGATATCTTCACAAAATTTGGCACGAATTATTATCAAAAGCAACGTTAGAGTTCTCCAAAGAAGTTGTTCAGATCGGACTACTATAACATACACCTGTGACTCAAATTGCGCGATCAAACTCAAGATTAAGATTATTAAAAGATTTTATGCTATAAGAAGTGTAGCTGTGAAAGATATAACTTCGGTGTAGCCGATGTTAACCTTTTTTATATGCCATGGTAAGTAACTTGTTGAGAATAAGAAGCACTCACCCACCTGCCACTGCTATTTAGTTAGAAGATACACAAATACGCGCTAGTACACGGCCGAGCGTTCGAATTTGTTTTTACAAAGTGCGCCAATGCTTCAATAGTAAAACTATTTATTTCAATATATACGTGTGTCAATGCGAACACTGCTTCGAGTAATCCGTCCAGGTGAATTTTAGCAGAAGCACTGACGTTAATAACGGTAAACACGATGAGAACAGTGACGATGACGACTACTGCGGGCTGCGACGACAACAATTAAATGACGCAGGATGTTGTTGCTAGCTTCATTTCCGGGTGTGCTGTTCGGCACGACTGTGGGAAAGTGGCAAGTATGCTGCCTCCACCAACACTACTTGAAATTATTGCAACAGAGCCTTAAAACTGCTTATGCGGTACCGTCGAATTGCTGCTGCTAAACACTTTAACTCCTCCCTAAGGCGCTGATTTAATGCTTTAAAAGTCGTCGGTATTAAAAAGCCAACAAACGTAGCTATATATTTTGCATTGCAAACCCGATTTTTTATAGATTCTAAGTTTTCGGTTGTTTTTTTTTTTCAGTTTCGCCTATTTCAAGCAAATTTATCTCATTAGCGTGAAATTTTAGTACTCACTTAAATGGTTATTAAACTTATACATTTAAAATTGTTTTCTTTTTTTTTTGCTAAAAAAAAACAATGGATACGCGTTTAGAAAATCTATTCTACACCATACAATTCGCTTCCAGTAGTGCAAAATTAAATTCACAAATTGTATTTATATTTTTTAATATTTATTTAGGTTGAAAATTAAAGTTTCATTTTTAAATTTTTCAATGTGAAAAAACTCGAAACTTTTCTCTGCTCAGCTCCTTTGTTAAAATTGAAATAATACATTGAAAATTTAACGAATTTCGATTTTGATTCAATTTCCGGCGCAAGTTGTTTTCCATATAAAGTGATTACCGTATATTATGTAATAATCCCGTTATATTTCTTTTGCAAACTTGCATTTTTTCTTCATATAATTTTGTAGAAAATGAAAATTTTCACATTCTTCTTCTTCAATTTTGGCGTACTTGCGTAGCTGTGACGTTATTTCTCTAAAATTTTCACCCGAACTGATTTTCAATTTTTCCGACCGTGCGCTCTGAGGCAGCATTGTAAGTTTTCGCCTGGCTTATCGTAGTCATCGTTGTCGCAGTCGAGCAGTACTCGGTCGACGTCGTCACCGCTCAGTGTTGATATTTCCACACAAACAGAGACGTTCAATGGTGCAACGTAGCACAGGAAAAATCAATCTTTTTCTCATTTCGTTTTTGCCATTACATTCGCCTACTCACACGCACACATACAAATATATATTTCTATACACCTATGAGGCGATTCACTACCCCCACTGCAAGTGTAGCAAAGCGGGTGCTCCAACCACCCTCTAAACGATACAGTGAATGCTTTCGGCGTTCATTTCAAAAGTTGCCAAGTTTATTTTTGCTCTTAGTTAAATTTAACTTCAAAGCTACATTTACAATTGTTGGATAGAACAGTATAGACACGTGTGCTTAAATATAGTACATATGTACTAAGATAAATAATTCTTACACAACTTTGTTTCGGAATCATTTGGGAGGCGGAGCTTTAATGGTAGACTATTTAGATAAGTTCGTTCCCACTATATTCGGATCGATAGATAGACCTGAATCTTTATCCAACCAAGGACTGTCAACTCTACAGCATTCCTTAAAGTTATATGAGAAATCTTTTCAGTAAATTTTCGAAAATTGTCGAATTGATAAATAATTTTTTTTGGTTCACAGCATGCATTTCAAGATAATTTCCATTATCCGATCCTAAAATGTATTAGATCGTATAGCTACAACATAACAGCATCACCAAGCCACCATCTAAATCGTTCCGGTATAGATATATAGTATATGGTAATGGTATGGTAGATAGAGTCCTGCTGTTGTAGTTATAGCTCTAGGATGAATAGTTTCGGCTAGTAGAACCAAATATTTTAATCCTTGCCGCTGTATAAATATTTCCTCAATATATTAGTGTAGGACACAACAAAACTTTATTTACTCGGATCAAAATATTTGGATCACTCTCATCACAGAAAACTGGCAAGTTCTTAGAAAAATCACTTACATTTTTATAAAACATAATATGTATATATGTATATAGTACTAGTGCTTTTGCTCATTACAAAAAAAATGTATATAACTTTATAAAAAAAAATTGTGGACAACAACTCCCACTCAGTGAACACAGTTGAACTAAATATACTATATATATTACATAAAATAACTGTTTTCAAAAAGACTCAAAAAATATATGCATAAAATATCCTCAACAAAGAAATTTACAACTTTTCAAACAAAATCACATTTAAGCCCATATATAAATCCTTTACGACGTGTACGCCTACATAATACCCGCAATGTATTGCATTCAATCGATTTTAGTAAACAGGTAATTCAAAGAATTTTGTACAACTATCTGTAATAAACTCAGTAGCAAAATATCCAATTGGATTTTAAGTAAACAAACTCACAGCTGTTTTGCAGGTCTTCTTCCCATTCTTATCTAAGCCGTGACAAACATGGCGAAGCAGTTATAAAATCGCAATAATTTACTTCCTTCTAATTAAATTCCGTCACATACACGAGGCTAGTAGGTAGTATGCGCATATCGCAAACTCAGAATTTATCTACTTAAATAAATATTTATATATGTTGAAAAACATTAATTAACAGTTTCGCACCTTTTATTCTTTTTTGCTTCTTTTTCTCGATTCGATCTGCTCCAATTGTATCTACAACGTTTGTTATATTCACTTGAAAATACACATGCAAAGCTATACGTTTAGCGCATTGCTTTTATTGAATTAATTTTTGTAATATAAAACAGTTCTCGAATTTCATTCTTTAATTAAAAAATACGCACATTAAATGAAATTTTTTTCGTAATCGCAAAACCACTTTCCTAGAATTTCCCCGACCAAAAACCCGAGCCGTACGAAATCAAAAATCTTAATGAAAAATTTCCCAACAAAACTTATAAGTGCTGCCACAAAAATATCCAATCGGATTTAATGGGTCTGTTCGTTGACAATTGTTAACAGTTGAGAAAATAAACTTTACTTGAAGCCTTAGAAGAAACTTATATTTTAATTAAAAACTTGCAACATATGTTTTTATATTTATTAAAAAAAAAAACTATTTGTTGTGTATACGTGTACGATTAATTTTCAGCCTTTTATATAATTTTAAAATAAATGAAATATACCGATCAACATCATTTATTATCGATTATACTTTTACGGCACTGGATCATATGTTTAGCCATTAAAGTGATAAACATTTCGAAATAAGTTTTTTTTTTATAATTTAATAAAATATTAAAATAATTAATAACATTCCATATTTTATCTTCATTATTCATAAAAGTGGAGTATATGAACATTTATTGTGCCAAACTTTGTGTATAATATATAATATGGCTCTGTTGGATGTTGACTCATGGTAAATTATGCGTTTAAGTCGCAATATTGTATATACTAAAGGTTGATATATTATCTTACAGGTCAAGAGAATGTGAGGCATGCTCAGCCCTTAATCAAAACATCCTACAAAAATTGGAACTACGTGAAAAGCGTCAAAAAAATTCACTCGAATATAATCGCCTCACAACTGCCATACAAACTGAGTTAAAGCAGTTCGAAGGTGAAGTGAAGGAGCTCAATCAGAAGCTGAAACTTTTAGAAGACGCACGATCCATGTACAGTTTGTTATATTGTCCTCTAATTGTTTGAATTTTATAAAGAGTTCTACTATAAAAATAACTTTATCCTAATATAGAGAACCCGATGAGCTCTACCAAAGAAAGCAACAAGTGGAAGCCCTGCAAAATCAGTTGGCGCAAGTGAACCGGAAGGTAACACAAGACACGCGAGGAGAGCGTGCCGAATTGTTTGCCCAACCGCCAAATAATTTGAACAATAGATCTGCAAGTTCTAATGGAAGTGCAAGCCCCACAGAAAATGATAGCGATGTAAACGCTTTAAAGCAACGTCAAATCGATATATTAGAAAACCAAAATCGCGGCTTAGAAGTTTTATCTCAGACAATATCTCGGCAAAGAAACATCGCTTCACAGTTGGGTAATGAAGTCGAAAATCAAAATGGTAAGTGGTGCGATATATAATGTATATGAACGCAACTAAATAATAAATAATTTTCAGATATATTGGATAATTTGGCCAATACTATGGACAGAGTTGATGCGCGTGTACACGTCGAAACAGGAAATATTGGCGATATAAATCGGAGAGATAGCACATGGGGTATGTAAATAGGCGAATATTTTATTTATAACATAATTTTTATTATTTTTCTTTTATAGGTTATTGGCTAGTGATCATCATTTTATTTGTTGCCATTGTTATTGTAGCAGTTATTTAAAATGTGGGTGTCTCGGAATTGGTATATATTTTTCAAATAATTGTGAAACGGTATTAACGAAATATTATGTAATAAAATGTATTTAAAATATTATAAATAATTGTTGGTCATACGCTTTTGTAATTATTGGAAAGCCTCTTGTATCAAAGCGTGAATAAGATGATAAACTTGTAGGGTATCTTCACCGAACAAAACTTTAAAAAACATATATATTGCGTTACACTTCGTCATTTATTTGTATCTGAAAAAGAAGTTTGTATCAACAACATAAAAATATTCATAAATACGAGTAAAAACGAGTTTTTGATCCTACTGTATTTTTAATGTGTATCACTTTAACAATACCGTTACAACAATCAGCTTATTACACTTTAGTGACTAATTTTCACTACTTAATCGATTTGGTTGAAGATCAAAACATATTTTGTCCAAGTTCTCAATTGGTATGTTTAATAATATATATCAATAATTCATGTAATTTTACAATTAAGCTAGATCTGACGCATATGGTACATTGGCTAGGTTTCCAACAGCCGCAACGGACAACTTGGATGAGCCAGCTTTCTTTGCAGCCTATAATAATAATAATTCTATTGTATTAATTCACCAATTATGTCGTTTGAAATAAATACCTCTTGCACTTCTTGCTGAGTGACACCATCGACAGCAGACAACAACGACTCGATGCTTTGTACCTGTTTCAGTTGTACAGCCTGAACACCAATTGCATTGATCAAAGAGCTGTCTGTGGAATAGCTTTCCAAAATAGCAGCTTTAAGCAAAGCCTTGCCACGGTTAACATCATTAGAAGATACTGAGCCGGATTTCAAGGCGCGTGTCAATGCATCAACGGCCTAGTGTTCAATATATATACAAAAAAAAATTAATAAAGAATATTATTCGATTCGTTAACGATTTACCTTGCCAATTAGTTGTCCATCTGTAGAAACCAAAAATCCGAACAGACCAGCATCCTCATACGAAGCATTAATGGTTGAGTATGAAACAGATGCATCGGTTACAGCACTTTGCAACGCTTTGCCAAAAGAGCCATTAATATTACCCCTTTTGGTTGCAGCACCTGCGCCTACGGCTTGCTTCAACACGGCAAATGCTAAAGCCTCCTTTTGGTTAAGTAGTGAACCACCTTGTCCAGCCACAGCGACATGAGCAACAACACCAGCTGTATCCTTGCGTGCATCGCCACCATAGTAAGAAGTGGAATTCGATTTTCCGGATCCTGAGGCCAATTCAAGGTTCTGGGCAAAACCTGACAGGGTGTTTTGGTCAATGCCAACGCCAACGACAGCGCAGCGGCTGGGCACAAAGGTGTTGGCAACGTAGTGGAGTAATGACTCGCTGGACAATTTACCAATTTGGTGTTTTGGGATGTAGATCGAATTACCTAAACCGGAACGGAAAGCGGCCTTGTGCAACAATTCTACAACGCGCTCCTTCAAATTTTATATTAATTTCAACCAAATTTATGCAGTTAAACAATTATTTATATTATACCTGTGGTGAAACAGAGGACACCTGAGTGCGTAGAAGTGGAACATTGTCAGCAAGCTCCCATGGCTTGAAAGCTGGCTGTACAAGGTCTTGCAAGTAACGCAATCCTGTCTCGATTTGATTAGCCGTAGTTTCAACGGTGTAAGTAATCAATTCACGATCGTTAGATGCACTCAAACTACCGCCAACTTGTTGGATGTTACGAGTTATAGCAAAAGCACTAGAATTCTTGGTGGACAAATTAGCAGCAAGGCGTAACAAATGTGCAGCTCCTTGGTTTTCGTAGCTTTCATTGCGAGATCCAGCGCTAATAATCATAGCCGTAGTAAGTAAAAAAATTCTAGTTCTTCCATTAGTTAAAGGTTTACTCACCGTAAAACAATGGACACACGCGTAATTGGCAGGGAGGCTTCGGCAGTGGCGACCACTAATTTATTATTCAACACAGTTGATTGGACTTCAGCTGCTTGTCCCAATGGGCGTGGACACTGACTTGCCAAACCACGCTTCTGTAATATTGAACAAAAAATAAAAACTATTAGTTTTTGCTAAATCACAGATTAGTATGTCGCGAAAATTGTTTTACGTAACCACGGTTCACGGAGTTTTGGGTTAGCAAACCCTTAAAAAGATATAATATATAAACTTACTGCAATCGAACGGAGGAAAGGTGCTTTATTTGCGTTACATGCCATTTTTCGAATATAATTGTTTATTTCTAAGAGCAAGGATTAAATCCAAAAAATATCGAAATTGAAGAGATTTTCTTACACGGCCCAGTCCTCACACTACACTTGACAGCAAAAACTTTGTAAGTGCTGCCAATAATGTAAATATGAGTGATGACAAACTAATCGCAATAATTATTGACATTTCACAAAATGTCACCAGAGATAGAGAACGCAGAGAACGTAAAATACATATCTACATTCTCTGCGTATATCTCTATAATTTTACGTTCTCTGCTGGTGACTATTTCAAACAATTAAAATTATCTCTTATTTCATAAAATTTTACTATCATTGAATTTAATAATCTATATAAATGTTTTGTATTCAATATTAACAACCTTTTCTGTATATAATCAAACAATTCAAACAGAGAATGTAGATATTTTACATTCTATAGATAGATAGATATTTTACATTCTCTGTTTCAAATTTAATTTTAAATATATGTTGTTTACAAAATGAACTGGTAATACTGTCGTAGAAAACAAACAAAAACAAATAGTTCATTTGTCATTTTACAAACGTCATTATGAAATGTACAACTGGTGAAGAAATATAGAAAAACTAGTGAATTGTGTTTTGTGCTGTTTAATGTTTTTACAAAAACGAAATTAAATTATTAATATAAACGCTCATTTATCTACGATATTTAGTGAAAAATAACTAAGATCTTATAGTCAAATAAATCAACAAAAATGGCATCATTCTTCAACAATCCATTCTCAACTCCAATTGGACAACGAATAGGTAATTAAATTATAAGGAAATATGATGTTTTACAAAAAAAAAAAAACAAAAAATTCACATGTTTACAAGAGTATAAACAATAAGCGTAATATGTTGTTAAGCAATAGGAATTACTAATATTTGTAATATATACGATAATTGACTTTTCACAATACTAGTCGGCATACATATGTTTGTATGCATGTATATACTCTAATATTAAGTTGGAAATAGTGCATCAAAGCTTGCGAAAATATATACCAACAACTTCTCAGTTTAGTTATATACTATAGTATTTGTTTTATTTAAATGCCTAATTCGCAATATTGCGTTGCCACAAATGTACATTTATTTATACATACATTCATATACATAGGTATATGCACCTATAACCTGTGTGTGTTCGAAATGGATTTCAATATTGTTGACTCACGCCATTGCATTTGCGGTGAGCAAGGGAACCCTTTAACCGACGTTATCTATGTTCAATTTATTACTGTATATTTTTATAGCATTTTATATGTATATATGTTTATAAATATACTAAAGATTAGCTTGTTATGCTGATGTGACACATGATATGCGATTAACAAGACCTATCTGAATCCTACTAACTGCAAGCAATATTTAGAATTCATAGTTTTAAATTAAAAAATATATGATTTTGATATTTTTTTAAATTATTTTTAATTTTTGCAACCATTAAAAGCAACTTTCTGCACAAACACTTTTATCTGTATAAGCAACACAAAAACACATTTATTAACTCTAATTTAACGTGTCTCTAACAAAGAATTTTGTAGATAAGCACCTGTAATAAATTATAATTGCAGACACGTCAAATGTTTTTTTTTGTCTTTATAAATACTTTAAAGGCATATATATATATAAAGGCTTTTATTTCTACAGATATTTTTTAACTATTACTTATTTTTATAAAGCATACACATACATAGATATTATTGTTTAGTATCTATGATATATACTTGTATGTAGCTAGAAGCAAATAGTATAAATTAAAAACTACTCTACTTTCGAATATGAGTTTTTATTCAAACAACTATAAATAATTTGTTTTGTTTTCACACTAATACGCTAATTTAGTGTAAATAATAATATTTATAATTCACATTTGGTGTTGAATCAGACTATTTGCCATCATGTTTAACACTATTGTAATGAATTAATGCATTTTATTCAATATTTCCACTTGTACCTATCTGATAATTGGCTTTTTGTTCTTACTAGAGCAAGCTACTGACAGTTCTTTGGCATCCGAGAATTGGGCCTTGAATATGGAAATATGCGATATGATTAACGAATCTTCGGACACGGCACGTGACGCTATGAAAGCCATACGCAAAAGACTGTCACAAAATGCTGGCAAAGATAATCAGGTTATTATGTATACCTTGACCGTGCTGGAGACATGCGTTAAAAATTGCGGTAAAGCATTTCATGTGTTAGTTGCTCAAAAGGACTTCATACAAGAGCTAATCAAATTAATTGGCCCTAAAAATGATCCGCCAGCGGTGATGCAAGAAAAAGTATTAAGTTTAATACAAATCTGGGCAGATGCTTTTAAGAATCAACCTGATTTGAATGGCGTTACACAAATGTACATGGAATTAAAGAATAAGGGTATTGAGTTTCCACAGACAGATATTGAACATTTAGCACCCATTTACACACCACAGCGTGTAAGTAGCGCTTTTTAAAAGAAGTGAAATGATTTCGTAATTCATTATTGTTATTTGTAGAGTGTACCAGAGCCACCGCCACAGGTTGTTCAACAGACAATTTCACCACAACACGCTATACCTATGGCGCCACAGGTAAAATGCCTACAAATATATTTACAAAACAATGTTTTTTATGTAGACTTAATTTTTAGAATAATGGACCCACCGCTTTGAGCGCAGAACAAACTACTAAGCTACAATCTGAATTGGAAGTGGTTGCACATAATATGTCAGTGTTAGGCGAAATGCTGACCGAATTAAAACCAGGGCAGGAGGATCCCGACGACTATGCTCTACTAACGGAATTAACAGCTACATGCAAGTATGTAGCAAACTATAAAAATATTACTTATGAAAAAATGTAACTAAAGTAAATTATTTGCAGAGAAATGCAGGCCAGAATTGTCGATTTGATCGGACGTATTAATGACGATGAGCTCACCGCTGAGTTGTTACGTCTGAACGATGAATTGAACAATTTATTCTTACGCCATCAACGATATGAAAAGAATCGAACTAGCAGTAGCGCAACTTCGCCCTCGGCCATTTTGGGTGCTGCTATTGGTGTACCACCACCCACAACTAGTGCCTCACAAGCTAGTGCAATACCAAATGATTCACGCCTAATAGATCTAGATGCGCGTGCTGAGAAATTATCAAATACATTCAGCAACATGAGTAAGTACATATTATATTTTATTTAGCTAATTTCGCTACAAAAAGCATTTAACTCTTAGGTACCAATCCAGCTAAGCCGTTAAACAAAGATATTGATGAGTTCGATATGTTGGCGCAATCACGGACCGACACTAATAAGTATATAAACAAACAAAAATTTAATTGGCACGTGCTTTATGAAAAATGTGTGTCTCTTTCGTTGTAGCAAAAGCGATCTGCTAAAAGACATTCCCACTGTAGATGCGGCAGCTGGCAGCGTCAATTTGCCATTCAAGCGCACCAAGGAAACAGTTGTTGTAAGCAAAGTGAGTAGAGCTTTTAACACTCCCTCAATCAGTATTGCAGGGTTCCTTATTAATATTAAACATCTGCTTACATGTGTATTTATATATTATATATTACTATGTTATACAAATTTTTCGTTGCCATATATTTTCATTTCAATTGCTTTGGTGTTGTATTAAAAATTATATTCTTTGTTTTGTCATATTTTTCGGTTGTGTATTCAAAAAAAAAAATGTTTCGTGTTTCGTAAACAAAGCCGGCAAGAGAAAACGAAGTTGATGAAATGGAGGCATGGTTAGGCAGTTCTGTAAGTAATCAGGTTAAACCCATTTATTTTATGTTTATTATATAAATTTAAGCTACAAACACTAGGGCATGCATATTTATACACATTTATGTGTCATTATTACAAGCGAACCATTTATATTTCACATTTGTGTTTATGAAATTCTCCAGAAATTATTAAAAATTTGAAATTGCAGAAGGAAGGCGCTGAAGGCTTTGAGGAAACCCTAACTAGCACCGAATTCGATAAGTTCTTGGAGGAGCGTGCAGCAGCTGCCGAAAATCTTCCCAATATAGCGGCTGCCAATACGAATAGCAGCGCCACCAGCAACGCTGGTGCAGATAATCAAAAGAAATCGTCAACTAAAAAGCCTGGTGATGATGATTTGCTTCTGCTATGAGGATGCAACTTCGATAATCGCGCACATAAAACATAACCATTTTTTAAATGTCTACAGCTAGCATTCGTAAAATGCGATGAACTAAATTGTATTTATTATAATTTAAAATAACGTTAGTGATGGCAAATTATGTTTCCCAATATGTTATTTACTATATAAGTATTGTATTGCAGCTAAACGTATGGCATATATATATTATTTTTCCTGCACATGCACATAAATTTAGGCATTGAGGCTGCGCGCTCATCATGAAACCCCTATAAAAAAAATTAATGAATGAATTCAACTGTTGCATTCATGTGTCATGCTGGTAATATGTGTCCAGTACTTTTTTATATATATGTATTTATTTGTGTATCAACACAAACACACACTCATACACATATATGTTAACCAAAGCTCAAAGTTGAATCTGTTTAACTTTTGTACATACATATATTTATGTAAATGTATTGAGTTGAAAGTTCTGTAATTCGATAAAGACTAAATGTATTATTTCTTTACTATTTACGTGCATTGCATGTCTTTGATTGTTAACATTTTCTAGTATATTTTTGCGTATATTTTAAGTTTTGTTATATAATTCAGTTAATACCAATTGTAATTAATATCCATATTATTTGCTTATATATTATTATGCTTTGATGTACATACATATACAAAAACACATACATATTAAAATATTCATACATTCATATATATGCACATAACATAATGTATTGGCTAATGGTGATTTCAAAAACAAAAGAAAAAATAATTAGTGCATTGCTGTTTTTCAGTAAATTAAAAAAAATGTATCAATCTGAAATTGTTTTTATGCAATTTAAAGATAAGATTATGTATTCATATTAACTTAATAATTATAAATTTTATTTACAATCAAATTATGAAAGTAAACTATAATGTTTAAACATAATAAATACTACTACTATACAGTATTTTATTTGTTGTTTTTTACATTTGACTAGTGTCAAGGGGAATTGGAAAAAAGTCACTACAAGTATTAATTAACAAGCATACATATCTTTTCTAAAAAACAAAGATTGGATTCGGTCCCAGTACTCCAATATAATCCTATGTAACTCTCTAATTGGCTCTACTCATGCATATATGTATAAAGTTAATAAAATCAGAGTAAAAATGTGCTTTTTACCATAAAAACTATATTTTCGCATAAAACAAATAAATAACCCAATGTTATTATTATTATACCTAAATAAACATTGACATCAAGTCAACCCCAAATAAATAGTAGCAAAAGTTAGGAGCTGCACAAAGCCCATATATTTGTTGATTGTGATTTATTTACATAGCCAATCAAACTGTCGCGACATTCTATTTGCTAGAAAATTTCACAATACTTTGTGATCCTCAATTTTTATTTGAAGTAATGGATTCCGTTTACTTGAAAAAGATATTGCTGAAAAATTTGGAAGCTGATAAAAAGTGCTACATATATCTGCATAGTGAATGGAATGAAAAGCAGCTGGTGAAATTGTATATTAGGGACTCGTCTGCAACAAATTGTTATGAAGGAAAAGTAGAACCGAAAGATTTTGAGGAAGCTGCAGAGGAACTTGACATATCGCTGGACGAATATCTAGGTGTGCTTAAGAAAGTGCTAACCACCGACATTGGTTTGGGGGGATTCGAAATTGAGTTGGATCGCGAAAATAAAATAATGCGTGTGAATAGAACAAAAGATTTACACATTATGTATGTGGAGATACAATTGAAGGATGCTGATAAAAATTATGATATGCTGGACATTGCATTACAAAAAATCAATAATGAAAAGTCCAAGAATGAAGATCAGGTAATAGAAAAAGCATTAACAAATGCAATCGGTGCTGTTGAAGTAGTGTTGCAAGAAAAAGAGGAATGGAAACAAAAGATGCTGGCAAAATTTTGTTTGATATTGAATGAAAAGAAAAATAAAATAGCTAAGTTGGAAATGGAAATAGAAAATTTATGCAAAGGCGACCGGCGTAACAGTAATGCACAAATGGATATTCAAGACAATGAGCAAGATTCCAGTGCAGATGTGCAAGATAATAGTAGTGAGGATGATTTCAATGCTGCAACGCAACGGCTTACACCTCCAGCGACAGAAACATTATAAAAACCTTTATAAAACTATATACAATAACGTAGCTTAAGTTGAATTATAAATACTTTAAAATTTATATCTGTAAGTTGCTTTATTCGTTGTATTTACTTTATTGTATGTTGTTGTTTGTATTTGTAATTAGTATAAATGTAAATATATTTAATTTTTTATAAGAAGCTTATTGAGGATTTAAATAGTTTAGAACTTTAGACTAGACGATGGTCTTCATTTGAAAAATATATAGAATATATGCAAAGAAACGAAATGGTGCTAAATGAAAAGTTTTTGTTTTGGAATTCTAAAAGAATCTGCTATTAATGCCTAGCAAAATAGGATAGTATCTGCTATCCTTTCACACCATTCACAATAGTAAAAATTATTGGAGAATTTTTTTTTAATTTGTCCAAAAAAAGTTAATTAAATAAAGGTTATTGAAATAAACATTGCGAGAGTTTTTATTTTTTTATTTTTCTCAATTTCAGCGATTAGGCTTTTTTTTCCAAACACCTATTTCTAATTATCTAATTGTGAATTATCGCGCTACTAATTGCATAGTAGATACCACATTGTTGTCATGAAAAATGTCAAATTCAGTTTAGTTTGTAATTAATTTAATAAACAATTATTTTTCATCTTAACGTTTAACAATTTAAATTGATTATTTTTCAACTCGTAACAAATTATAAGAACATCGCGGTATCGCCGTGTAATGAGTGATTCAGATGATACTGATATTTTACTATTAATACCACCAAATTACTTTGCTACTGCTACCCCGGAGGAATTGGAAGAGTTTCAAATCATTCATCCAGTACGAAGTTCAGCTACAGCGTTTACACGCGATGCCAATTACATGAATGCATATATTGGCAACAGAAATTATTTCAATCACTCAGAAAATAATATAAATAAAATGGAAGCAACACTTATAGAATCGAATACCAATATTGACGGCGCAACTGACCATCGGAATATGGAAATATTTGTTGCGAATAAATATATGGAGCTGAACGAAATCAACTCACGCTTGAAGTTGCTAGAACGTGAAAAAGATTGCCGTTTTACAGCCGCTTCAGACATATCCACCATATCGAATGGCACACAAGCAGCACGATATAGTAGGGAAGGGCTGGTCCATTCCACACCTAAATGTTATACAAACACTGAACGTCTTTATAAGAAGGATGCTGGTGGTATTTTAAATGAAATTGATAATTTCTTAGGTGATCGCAATCGTGAACTAATGGATAGTGTGCAGCAGCAGGAAGCCATTAACTCAAATCCAATCATAGAAAAACCTCAACAAGTTAAAAGTCGATATCAACAAGCCTATCCCGATGTAAAAACAACGTTGGGAGCTGATGTCAATTTAATAAGTTTAAGTGAAATCTGGGGCAAAAGTGGTCAAGGCACTGCCATTGCATGTGCTGGTCCACAACAGTCTGTGTATATAGAAGAACAACTACGGCGTCAGCATCTTGAACGAACGGTACACTCTTTGCAAACGCGCTTACTTGAATACCAACAACGGTTGTCGGTGGCTATAGAAGTGGATCGTGCCAAAGATGCAGCAATATGCAACGCACAAACGGAATGTAAAGCGTAAGAATAATATATTGTATACTCCATTTTTATAATTATTTGAAAATATTTGTTAAACATTTTATATGAATATTCGTTAAACAGCTTGGATGCGGAAGTCAATCAACTGCGTGAAAAAGTTTCAAAACTGGAAGCAGACAATACTCACTATAGCACCAAAATAGAATCACTGCAAAAGGAATTGACGCAGGCGTTAAGCTTAGTAACTAAATTTCAGGATAAAAGCGAAAAGTTGGAAAATGAATTATCGACAAATTCCAGGTATTAATTTATAAAAAATATTAAACTAATAAGTTTATTACATATTTGTGTAAAAGTGGTATGCAAAACAATTATATATTATTTTCCAATTAGAAAAACGAACGAGTGTACCACTATGTATAAGCAGCAAATAGAAGAACTTGAAGTAAAGATTCACGGTTGCAAAAGATCGGAAGAGTTCGCTAACAATGAGTTAAGCAAATTCAAGGATAAACTAGTGAAAGTAGATTATCTAAATGAAAAGGTAGAATAAATAAATTGAGAAAAACATTTATTTTATAGATTACATTTTATTTAATTACAGCTCAAAACACGCTGCGATGAACTAGAAAAGGATTGCGGCACATTAAGAAATCAAAAAGAATTGTTGCAGGAATTTCAACAAAAGCAGAAAACCCGCGCAGACGCATTAGAAGTACACCGAAAATCATTGCAAGACAAAGTAACGGCGCTTACAGAGAGCGAGGTAAATAATATTTAATAAAATTAAAAATTACACGTTGCATAACAAACCTTAACACTTAGATAAATTTGAAGAAAAAAATGGAACTTCAACAAAAGACATTGAAATCACACTACCAACAACAATTAGAAATTGCAGTGGACCAGAAAATTAAGGAATTTCAACAGCAATTAGACAAGAATGAGGAAATACTTAAAATAGAAGCGCGTGAACGTGAACGTTTAATCGCTGAACGCGCCGTCAAACAGATAGAACTAATTAATGAAAAAAATGAGATGGAGCTGAATTTGCTGCAAGAAAAACAAAAGGAAGAAGTTGAACTGTATCGCATACAACTTGCCAATGCCACAAAGAAAATAGAAGACTTGGACTGTAAACTGAATGCTTACAAGACAAAAAGGTGGCGTTAATATAATATAAACAATTTTCTTCAAATAACATTAAAATAAAATTATTTGATTTCAGAGCGGTCATCGCGGAAAAGTTACACGATGTCATGGAAGATCAATGGCAAAAGGCATTGGAAATATTGACCTCACCAAGCAATCAATCACAACAAATAAGCAATAATACAGATTGCGAATCACAAGCAAACAATGAAAATGAATTAAATAAAGACGACGACAGTAATTATAAAACACCAAAAAAGAATAAAGCGCGTGATCGCATATTGAAAATTAAAGAGAATAATTTAAACAATATCAATGAGCGAAAGTCTTCACCAGAACCAATGGACAGACTGCAGGCATACATTGAATTGGTTTGTTAAATGCCTTCACTTATATGCATATACTTTTTTTCATTAATTTTTGCTTGCAGCTACTGAGCAAATCTCCCAGTGAATTTGATAAATTGGATGAAATCCTAGCATTAGCTAGTAAAACCAAGTCCTCCACATCCAATACCAAATCGGATAAACATATGAATTGCTGCAAGCCACCATGGCGCGGATAACAGTCTTTTGTTTAAATATACAGTCACGAGCATGTTTGGGTTTAATACTCGTATATATTCATACAGAAAGTACAAAGTGTAGCAGTATTCGCGCTTTAGGCAAGCTTGTACGTAATTATGTGTCGAAAAATATATTGTGTTTTAATTTTTCTTATTGTATAAAAACAGCTTGCCACAATAATTTACTTATCAATAAGTATTTTTAATTATAGTTAACACGATATTAATTAATGTTTTATACTCGCGTATTTTTTTACTCATAATGCGAAAAAAGTAAAAATACCAGTTGCACTATATATTTTCTGGGCTTTTTTTTGTATGTATTGATGTTAGATTGAGCAACCTACCGTTTGGAGCATTAAAGTAGAAGCAGTTGCTTTTAGTGTAGTTGTGGATTGACACGTAGTTACTGCTATACCAGTACCGATAGTGTACCGATATGAAGTGAGCGTAAAGATACAAATTTTGTACCGAAAAGTGATTAATTGCGGAAAGCATTCATTTTTTGTTTCTATTTGAAGAAAAATGCTGCAGATTAGCATCGATTGCATGTCGAGGCATATGGTGATCATGCTCCATCAGAAGCAACATGCAAAAGATGGTTTCAACAGTTCAGAGATAATGAAGTGCAAACAATATTGGATGAAGATGATACTTTGAGTCAAAAGCAAATGGCAGCCATTTTAAATGTTGCACAACAAACTATTTCAAACCGTTTGGAAGATAAGGGAAAGATCAAAAGGAAGGAAAATGGATGCCACATGAATCGAATGAAAGACAAATGGAAAACCAAAAAAAACACTTGTGAAATTTTGATCAACATCGACTGCAAAAACAGATCGATTCTGTAAGAAGTCAATGCTCTATGTTTGGTGGAATCAGAACGGTGTGCTATATCATGAGCTTTCAAAGCCTGGTAAAACTGTTAATACTAAACGCTACAGACAACAAATGAACAATTTGAAACATGCATTGATCGATAAATAACCAGAATGAGCTAAAAGACACGGCAAAGTAATTTTGTTACACGGCAATTCACCTGGACACAAAGCAAAATCGGTTCAGGATACAATCAAAGTATTTGAGTAATTTCCGATTATCATTTGTTTTCATGGATGGGACACGCCTCTCAGTTTTAAAGTAAATTTCGAGTTAAATTTTTTTTTGGAAAAAAAATATTTTTTTCTGTTTTAAACTCTACGTTTATATAAAATATAACGAATTTGACGGTTTTTGACTCAAAATTTATTTTAACGCTTAAGGAAAACATGTGGTCATTTAAGACTTTTTTTAAACTCCAATAATGACCACAAAAAAATTTAATAAATTAATAAAGTTGATAAATTTTAATTGGCCAGAAAGAGGACTCTCCACAGCTTCTAGAATACTTACCAAAAATTTTTTACGAAATAAAAATTTTAACTCGAAAATTTACTTTAAAACTAGGTGTTAAAAAAAATTTTTTTTTGCCAAAAATTTTCTTTTTTTTTAATATACAGATTTTACCCCCAGGCTAAGCAAAAAAAATGATGGTTTTTTGCTCCACCCTAATGTACATATGTATGTATATAGTTTGTAGAGTCTCCGACGTTTATTATTGTGTTTTGCAAACTTTTTGACAAGCTTAATATAAAGTAAAAGGAACAAAGTAGTCTCTTAAAAACTTACCATTTTGAAGTCATTCTTTACAATAATAAATGATTTGAATTTCTGTAAAATGTGATTGCTTTTTAAATATATTATCTGTGTTTTAGTGAGTGTTTTTATAAGCTTATGCTGTATAATTCATCACGCCATTACTTATATGCTATTTGCGGAAATTTCGGTGAATTCCCATAAAGTCCCTCGGTTTCCCACACCTGGATGTGCGAATCTTTAGTTAGCGCCACCAGATGCTGATGTGTTGAGTAAACAATGCTATATAGAGAAAACGCATAAGCAAATAATTATTCACCACACAAATTTTGTCACATTTTTTAACGCTGTTACCTTCTTATATTTGCTATGCCGGTGATGATTTCGCTGACAAAACTCAAATTCCAGCTGGACCACAAACGTATGGTGCCACCCTCAACAGCGGTGGCAATGACATTAACACCCACACCTTCCTTGATGTACGAATAATTGGCCGCCAATATGCGATCCTCATGCACGATGTGTTGCACGTAGCGAGCATTTACTGTGTGCAAACGCAAAATGGATTTGCCATTCGGATTTACAGACACATTTACGAAATCCTCGAGACTCTCCTCGGTCACCTCGAAGCACTCATCCGGCGCCGATGTTATTGGCTGCTCAATCGGATTACTACCGTTAGTTTTATTACTTTGTCTCTCCGGCGATGACTTTTGTACCAACTGTAGCTGTGGTGTAGTGTGCACAGTGACAATATCACCCAATGTGGGGCTTATGGTAATCACCGTTATTGGCGAATGATGTATCTCCGCAGGTCTATCAATTGTGCGCACATAATTCCAGCTAGAAGATAAAGTATGGGTTAGGAAAAATTTTACTTAACAACAACAAGATGCGAAACACACTTGTTAAGATCCCAAATAACGGCAATACCATCGCGTCCTGCTGTAACGGCAATTTTAAATTCAACCGATAAACGTATGCTGGTTACCTCGTCGCTGTGTCGCAGCAGTATTGTTGGACCCGTCCATGTGAGATCGGCGCAATCGCGTTGTGGCGCATCTGTTGCTGCGCCGCCTGCAGTTGAACTCAATAACGGTGTTACATTGCCAGTATCACTTTCATCCGAATAATTTTTAGTCGTCAACTTACGAACAGCCGAATTATAGGAGCGTCGCAGGCCACGTATATAATTTTGTCTATTCTTTACCGGTCGACTGTTCGATTCGGTGTTGCCGCATTTGTATATACTTATGCGTCCCGATTTGTGCCCGAACCACAGTTGATTGGAATTCGGATCGGCACCGCAGGCGGTGATATCATCGATAACTTGACTGCGTAATATATTTTTCGGCTTCGTATATAATTTATTTAACGGTTGTATACGCACAATGTGATCGTCGTAGTCCCAGGAGATCACATTGTATGTATCGACCTCAGCACCTTGCATAATGCACGATTTCATTGGTAGTCCATAAACAGCGTTAGTGTTATTGAATGAAACCAGATACTCGGCACCGGGTATTTTATAGATGTTACCAAGCGTTGGTGCCGGTAGCTGCGGTGAACCCAAATAGACGCCCCATCTCAAGCCACGCACGGTGGGTAATACTTCCTTCGTGCCAAGGCAATAGTTAAGCGATTTCGTTTGTGGATGTGGATTTTTGAATAACTGCCTCGGCATTTGTCCATAGGTTCGGATCATGGTCTCGACAGCTCTGCGCTCTATTGGGTCGACTGTTATTGACTCCAAAAATGAGGGATAGGTCTAAAATGGTATTACAAATATTTAAAATATGGATTCTAAATCTTCCTTATAAGTGTCTGAAAATATTTACCGCCGGGTGGAAAACATTTATCGCTTCCACTGCACTTTCACCAGACTGCTTATAGCCAAAGATCAGATCGAACCAATTATGCAGATGATTGCGTGTCAACTCCGCCTCTAAGGCCTGGCGATGTATAAGCACGAAAAGACGCGCATCCCGCAGACACCAGGGTGGCAATTGTACGTCCTCAACGCGTTCGCCATTTTGTCGCAAGCCGAAATCGAATCGTTCGAAATTTTCAAACATTTCCGGTAAACAGAAGAATTCAGGTATCAGCTCTTTAACGTCTGTGGGGCTATCACGACTCGCCAAATTCCAGGTGGTCGTCAGTGAGTGAAATGTGCGATCAGGCAAGTCAAAATTATTGTCTGAAAAAAAAAGTGATGGATTTTAAGTTTTTTTAAATTTTACTTGAGAGTGCTTCGCATAAAAAATATGACTGAAATTTTTAAGCTCGATATGTATAAAACGAAAAATTAGGTACACTATTAAAAAGACCATTTGCGCCTAAAATTATACTAAGCAAAAATTGAAATCCACCTTTTGAGAGCGTTTTTTGGTGAACGGGTCAACTTAATATTTACCTTGATATCTTAGAAAATAACTCGTAAAAGGCGGTACACGCACGAGGAAATGCAGCACAGTGCCGGAATTCGAATAATGCGAGCTATAGTGATATGGTTTCAGTGTCAACGAACCCATGTTAGTCATCGTATTGTTGAGATACTAAAAAAATATGAAAATTAAACTTTAGTCGAAACTATGAAAAATCAAAACCAGTTAAAAAAAATATACCGTGTAGTTGGCGACATAGTGCTCCTCGTTAACTTCATGCTGCACAGCAACCGGCTTCTCCAGCTTGCGAAAGTTCGTGTCGTCAGTCAAATCTAAAATATCCGACGCATAATTAGACAATATCCATGGAAATATGGGATATTGCATGAGATCATTATAAGTGCGGCCGGCAATTTGATTGAGTGTCATTAAATACTCCCAATTGGTCAATAAACCCTCACGCCATTGTTGCGTAATAACGAGTACCTTTGCTTGATCGGGATGAGTGACGATTTTATCACAAAATACATCGTACATAATTTTATAGTCATCTTGATTTTGTAATGAGAAAAACAGTGATTGATTTGTATCCAAAAATATTTCGAAAGCCTTCTCCTGATGCTGATAACGTTTCAACCAAATTTCACTTATACTCGAGATATCACAGTTAATATAGAAGTATTTGCAACGATATGTAGCCATAAAATACAGTTTATGATCGGTTATAATAATTTCACCATCAATCTCGCCATCGACGGGTAGAAATTTGGCAGGAAAATTATAAAGTATTTGCGAGTTGAGCGAAATATTGAGCTGTTGATCATAACTGGATAAAAGATATTCCAGCGGGCGCACATATTCGTTGGGGAACGAGGCACTGGTGTTTAGAGTAATATCACTGTTACGTAACTCTGCTGTGTTGTTGGTGTAATAATCCTCCATGAAGAAGCGTTTATCGATATCCAAATGACAGCGGCGCATGCGTGTATGAACTCTCGACGGACCCTCGGTGTCATCTAACTCCCAAGAGCTGAAAAGTAGGAATATACATACAAAAATTAAAAAAATTAATTAAAAATAACAAAAAAACAAAGAAAACATTTTTTTTAAATGAAAACTAAATATTTTAAGCAAAATTTAGGAAAAAAAATTTTTTTATACATAAAAAAAAATTAAACAAACACAAAAATAATAAAAAAAAAAAACAAAAACTAATAAAAAAAATTAAACAAACACAAAAATAAAAAAAAATAAAAAAATTGAATATAAAAAAAAATTAAAAATAAAAATAGTATAATTAATAAAATTTAAATATACAATAAAAATTGAAAAAACATAATTAAAAATTACAAAAAAAAAAATAAAAAAGAAAAAACTAGTTTTTTAAAGAAAATTTAATTTTTTATGGAAAATAAAAAAAAAAATTTTTTTTACAAAAAAAAATCGAATAAAAAAAGTTATACAAAAATAAAAACAAACAAAAAAAATTTATATAAAAAAAATAATTAAAAATAAAAATAGGATATACAATATAAATTGAAAAAACATTATTAAAAATTACAAAAAAAAAATAACAAAACAAAAATTGATATAAAAAAAAAAAAAAAAAAATTAACAAAATCTAAAAAAAAAAATTAAAAATAGGATAATTAAAAAAAAATTACATTACAAAAAAAAACTAACAAAATTCGAATTAACATTTGTTAATGAGAAAATAAGATCTTTTATACACATCTTTATCTTGATTTTACTAAAATTTGTTCGAAGATTGAATTTCGTGAAGATATCTTGTCAAGTAAAAAAGTTTTCTATGCAAGAACTTGACTTTGATTGATAAGTTTGTATGGCAGCTATATCTTATATACCGGATATACCGATGGTTCCAACAAATTTGCAGCTTCTTGGGGAGAAAAGTGCTTGTGCAAACTTTTAGATCGATATTTCAAAAACTGAGGGATGTACGCACAGACTGATAGACGGGTATGATCATTTATATACCATATATGTACTTTATAAGTTCTCCGATCCGTCCCGGTGGTATCACAATGGGCCTCCCATAGGCCTAGGTGCGTCGTCAGACAGCCTACCTACCTACATACCAATCAGGGTATAAAAAAAAATATTTCGGTA